ATAAAAGGATGTTCTCAGAGAATCACAAAGGAAGCGTTGCAGGGATACTTGTTTTGTACAAAACACAACAGTCGTCTATATCCAAAGACATTTTGTATAAAGGGATGACATATTTGCCTCAGGAGTGACAACAAGTGGGGGGATGTTTGTATTGTTGTGAGGGAGCCCAAGGCTGCCTTTCATTAGACCAGCTATGAACGTTTTTTTTTATCTGTGTATGAAGCTGTTGCTGTTATCAATCAAATCCTCATGTTATTTCCTCAAAAGTATTTATCTCACACTCAATGTAGGAGATAAATGACTGGCAAGGATGCCTTAATTAAAAAAAGTAGATGTTGCAATTTAGAGCTCGTCGGTTGTCGAGTTTGTGCTGACTCCATATATGGCCTTTTTTGTATTCTGTACCACATTAGTACACTAATAATAGCATCCTACTTTTCAAGTGTTTTTAGCTATTGGGCCTCATTTAGATTAAAAAACCTAAGTGGGAGAAATTTGATCAAACAGGCAAAAAAAACTGCACCTTCTTCTCATCTCCACTGCTGAAGAATATTAAGTCCATAGCAAAAAAAAAAAACAAAAAACAAAAAAAAACACTTAAACCCAAAGTCTCCAGGAACTGACAAACACCAGTTGCATTTCTCATGCGACATTTTATTAAAATCAAATTCCATTTTGGTTCATTAGCTCTATTAAAAAAATAATAGGGTTAAGTCTCTACCTGAGTGATAAGGAGTAGTCATTCTGGCTGCTCTGGCTTTTCCTCACCAGGTATGAACTCTCTTTGCACAGAGTCAACAGAGACTCAGCCTCTGAGCGGCCCAGGGCTCCATGGTACCACCTGCAGGCAACAAAAAAGGAAAAATACACATAAAGATGTCATTGCTTTGCAAAAACGTACATCTATCGCAAAAGTTTAAGATGTTAAACAACATCAAAAACTGCTGGACATTCCAGATACACTTAAAACGAATGAATGGTGGAAACATTGTCAGTGTGAATTAACAGAGTTGTAGATGTCAACTTACACCTGCTTCTCCAGGGGCAGGGATGGATCCACCCTCTCCCCCAGCAGAGGAGGAGTGTCACCGACAAGACGGAGTGTAGCTGCATCACAGGCTGTTGATGCAGAGCCAGCTTTGGTAAACCGTGTGTGTTCCGACTGAGCCCGGGAGCGTTCCCTCTCTGCTCCTTCAAACTGAACTACAGACAGAGAGCAAAAAAAATTTTATCCTACTGAATAAATATATTTGCAGCCCGTAGATTTTGCAGTTTACCTGCGAGAGCTTTAGAGATGTTGTCTTTCTTCCACTCCCACGGCTGGTCATACTCATCCGCTGGCCTCTCGTCGTCCTGAGGCAGCCGGCTCTCCCTGCTGTCAATCCAGCCGGGTCCAGCGTCGGTTTTCTGCATCTGCTGCTGTGCTCCTGGAGCGGCTCGCTGGAGGTGACGGCTCTTTTCCTCGTAGGGGTTATCATACAACTGAACAGCATCTCCACTTGGAGACCTGGTAGCCATCACGCTGTGTTGCAGATCTGCACATTGATTGGAGAAGTAAAAACTCTGCAAAATTCAAACCTCAAGCAGTTTTACAGAGTCAGAATTCCTGAGGTTTTCCAAACTTAACCATACCAGCACAAATCTTTTGTCTATTTGTATTAATATCAATACATATACCATCGGCTGGTATTGAGTCCTTTGAGTTTATAGAATCAGTTTCTTCTGTAATAGGGCTCGGGATCTGAGGTAAAGTAAATATTTTTGTCTTTCTTTTCCTACAGTTCATAACAGCATGTGCTGTCCTGCACAACATCTGCCTGGGAGCCGGTGTCATCACGGCCCCAGAGGATGAGGAGGGGGAGAACGTGTTGGAGGCAGTCAGTGGTGCTCCATGGCGGGACCAGCTGTCTGCCGAGGTGTCTGCTCTGGAGGAGGGTCTACCGGACCACCGTTACATTTAGATGGCAAGTAGAATCACATTTTAGCTGTTCTTATTTCAGGGTTATGAAAACAGTTTTAGTAAAGTCATTATTTTCTGCGTCTTTTTAAACTTTTTTAGTAACATGGCAGCCGTCAATTGGATCAGCCCTGCAAACCCTGATGGACGATGTGGTAAACAGTGGAGAGAGGCAACCCCCACCCCCCAGATGATGTCCCACTCACAGTCAGAAGACTCCAAGGTCATCTGTGTGGCATCCCATCCAGTCCAGCAGCACCACCAGGGACTCCTGCTCAGTCACAACTGTATATATATATGTTCTCTAGTAATATTT